GGCCTCTTGGCTCGTATGTAGACTTTACCAAAGCCAGGAACAAGAATTACTTGCCAAATGTTGCTCGCAAATTTTTTGCTGTAATTACTCAATGCAAAAACAGTTCCATTTTGTGTCTAGGTATTTTATCTCCAATGATCACCTTGTTGAGAACTTGAAATATAAAAATGTACATTATTTTGCTTTACATGGGAATTCAATAAGGTTTCTTGAGTAAAGAATTCATCTTAATCGGATGTCGAGACAAAATGTACAAATTCTCATTTGAAGGTTTTAATTAATGCTTTTTATTTGAATGAAAGGAATTTATCTTTGGCAGTTCATTCTCTTCGTCGTTTATTGTATAAGACACATTTCAATGCTCTATCGTTTGTTATAAGATGTTGTATTAGTCATGGGGGAAGTTATAGACTTAATTTATCTTAATACACAGCATGTGGAATCTGTTTTCGCTCCTTTTCTTTTTCGACAGTTAAAGAGAATATCATGGAAGTTAAGACTTTCCTGTTTTTCCACCCCAACCCAAGCGGGGGGTTAAAAACGTCATAGTCATATAAATAAACAACGCCAGGGCTAAGTTAATGCAACACTGATGATTATATTTATTAACTTGGTAACCTACATGGTATTCACTTCATATCTAAATATCTGTCTTTTTGTAAACCAATATGGCGGCTAAAGACTAAAAGAGTATATTATTTACTTACAACCGCTAAGAAAATTCAATACCAAGAAATAACTTAATCTGTTAGGTAACTTAAGCAGTGTACATTAAATTTCTAAATATGATTTCTTTTAATTTCCTAGACTTTTAGTCGCCATATTATTCCCATGAGCCTTCAGGAAATGCTTTGCTGTTCAGTCCTCTTTCGTCTTTCATTGATTTTCCTTCCTCAGGCCTGGGACGGGAGTTTCTCAGCGTACGTAGACGGTCTGCAAGTCGATTTTTTGGCAGCGTTGCTTCGTCACTCACCTACAACGAACAAGATCACCAAAGAATTGAAGCAGCATCGTTCGGGAGACTTTTCACTTGGAATTTATGGTGTCGGTAGCTAGATTAAAACCAAGTAAGGTTGTTTTCTTTCGAATCATTTGGTTTGAGCCTTGTGTTGAGAGAAAGATAATTTAGAAATCGGCTAGCTTTACTGACCTGTCTTTTGCCACAACCGTACCAAAAGGGACAGCCATATTGGGCTAACACAGAGTAGGGAACGGCCAACATGAAGACAAGAAAGAAAGCCAGCGTAATCCGTGAATTCATCTTGTTATCAGCCCCAGTTACGAACTTTGCTTCTGTTTCTGTGCTTGCTGTATATTCTCTAAAGTGCGAGATTAGCACTCTTCTTTTATACACACAAAATGTCATAAATTCATAAATAACATAAATGTTCTGCTATCAATCACCGTTCAATTGTGATAATGTGGTTATCATGGTTTGCATATTTTAGAGCTTTTCATCGTTTAATAACCTGTTTATTAAGTTAGTGATTGAAGCCCAAGCTTCTAATCGGTCAGTCAGTGAAGTTGGTTCGTTTTCTCTGACACCCACCAAAAAACACCTTGCAGCAGCATATGGTTGCTGTTTTGTAATTAACTTTTGTCACTGATATGACTACATTAGTTATCAATTAAATTAGTAAATGAAAGTGACGAATGATCATCGCAGTAAATTCTCGAATATAAGCAATTGGAAAGAAGTAGCCTGAAAAAA